ACCTTGATAGATTTGGAACTCATTTGATTCTCCTCTAGTCTCTAAAGTAGAAGACCTCTAAAGATCCACATCCACTAGTATAGTGAGATGGATGTTGGAATAACCAAAAGGAGAAGAGATGATTAGCTATATCCCCTCTTGGTGGCCGGCTATGAATGTGTGAAGAGAGAGAGAGACTTGTTTTTCTCTTGTTGAAAAGAACACACAAAAAAGCCCTAATGAAACTTTTTCATCTCTTTATAAAGGTAAAAGAAGTCAACTAATTGACTCTTTCTCTCTCTTCTTTCCTCATCTTTGGCCGGCCCCTTAGTGTAGGTTTGGATTTTGGTTTTTTATCATTTCAAGTCATCCTATGCTTGAATAAAAAATCCAATGGGCCCGAATGAACCCGAACTTTGTTCTTTAAGCCCGAAACGATCTTTCATCGCTTCTATGATTTCTTTAGACTTTCTAATTAATCATAGCACTTAATTAATCCAATTAATTAATTCAATCATCCTTTAGTTGTCTCACCACAAGAGTGTATTGGTGTACAATCGTTTTAGGTTCTAATTAGTGAGGCAATGAAGTGATTGGTACCAATCCAATTGATTAGTATTTATCCAATCATTCAGTGAATTAAAGCTTACTTTTAATTCTTCTTCTTCTTTGAAGACTACTTATTTAATCATCTAGAAGAACCCACAAGCCATGAGTGACATCTAACCATATATCATGGCTACCCAAGCTAATGTAGAATTTGGTCAGAGAACCTATTCAGTTGGAATTACAATGTAATTCGATCATTCTCTAATACAATACTCACAATCACATTACTAGGATATGGATACTTAATGTCAAACCCCTAATGTGATTATACCAAGTTATATGATTCAATTGAGTAGTATAGGAACGCATTCCATCATTACGCTTGATACTTCGGCCGAAGATTCCCGAATCATATCTAAGAGTATTCTTCCTCTTATAACGAGGATTAGAGATCCCTTGTTGATCATTCACATGCCTCTGAGAATAAATCACTGACCCCAACAATGCATAGAACACATCTAAGATGAGATGTGGTCATGTCTCATTATCAAATGATCAGCAACGTATCCCCAAGACAACTATGATGTCTCAGGTCAAATGATTACTTACATTATTCCAACCAGTAGAGTTACTTGCTTGACATGTGAGTAAACCTCCATGCAAGTACTCTCGTTTGATTGTGTTCAGTGAACTCATTCCCTTAATGAGCACTTACATACTTGTCTTAGTGTCACTACACGAATGACTTGAGACTTTCCATCCTTCCCATTTGAAGGGGACATAGTATGTACTGGTCTATGTATTATCAGTATCCCTCTGACAATCCTATAACCTGGAACCTTTTGGACATTATGGTTATGTGAAAAAGGTCTTTGCTGTCTAACATCATTAGATTACTTTTTCCATCAATCCATTGTCCATGGATTCACTATTTTGGACGTATATCATTTTATTGAGGTATTCCTAATGAGTGACTTTGCCTTTTTGTTGTATTAGAGTTATCTACGCATATAGACATTGTCTTGAAAGGTTTCTTCCAAAGATTGACTTTCAGGGCATATCTCCAACATGAGATTTGGATATTTGATTGTGGGTGGTAAGGGAGGTGCAAGTGGCGTGGCTGGGTGGTTGGTAAGGGGTGATGAACATTCAGTTCTCGTTTGGCAGCCAGTATAAAGGATCAGATAGGATAAGTAATACATTCCCGAGTGTTTGGTGTGATTATGTACTAAATAGTACTAGTATAATTTATTTGGTCTCATATTTTTAGTCCAATTCACACCCGTTTATTTATCCATTCTAAAGGCTCGGTATAATTAGTCGGGCCAATGATACGCTCTCTTTACCTTCCTTCGTGTCTCTCGTTATCTCTATTTCCTTCTCCAGTTTGTCTTCTGCGCATCAGAAACGCAAACAATCAGCTACCCACCTTACCTCGCAGGTGACTGCGAGAGTACCATCCTCTATCTTTCTCCATCAGCCTAACCCCGACTTCTCCCATCCTGAGATCTACTCTCTCAAACTCTTCACACATCGACGTCGGCTATGAATCAAACCCATTCTTCCTCATCTCTCTAACATGGTTCTTTATCATCTACCATTCATGGTGTTCTTGTTAACCCATCAGCAACAATCCGACAAGAGATGTGGGTAAAAGGATTTCCTCTTTTCAGATCTGCTTTGAGTTTTGAGTTTCAATTCTTGGTAAAGATTGAGCAATTGTAATTTTTGGTTGTATTTGAGTGGAGGTTGATGAGTTGGGTTTGGATTTGGCTGGGTGAAAAGCAAAGGTGCTGCGAGGAAGATGAAGAATTTTTGGCTTTTCTATGTGAGAAGTAAAGGTCTAGGCAAATCTAGAAGTATCATGACAAAGTTTTTGTTTTGGGTGAAATTAATGAAAGTTGAGGCACCCAAATTTCTATCTAAAATTAGTTTTATAATTACAGTATGATGATCGGTACAATATCAAACTTAGTACTAAATAGTCAATGTTTTAATCCGGTAGAGTACCAAACATCTAACTAATTTAGTCAGTACTATTCGGTGACTAATTATCTTATCCGATGGAAATAGTCACTACAATCCGAGTTGCCAAATGAGGATGTCTTTTTGTATGGAAAGGTAGGGGTGGATGTTAGACGTGACTTTGGCTGGGTTTCTATTTCTTTCTCTTCTTTTTCTTTCCAAACCCATTTTGTATGTGTGATAAAATAGAGATTTCAAAGTAAAAGACTTATAAGTTTGGTTTAGAAAGAATTTTTTTGGGTCTGAATCAAATTTCACTTTCCGAAATAATCTTGAAGGGGAGGGGAATTGAAATGTTCAAAACAACCTTGAAAATAAGTAATGTGTAAGCCACATAACTTATTTTGAATGGAAACTTAATGAAGTAACAGTGAGATGACAAATTAATGATTTAGAAAAAATAAAATGACAAATTACTTAAAATTGTAGTTTAGATGACAAATTGAAAAGAATTACAAAAGTTTGTATGACATTTAAAAAAAAATTCCGAGTCTAATCAGTAGTTTGGGCTATGAATCAAGTTGGGAAGACTAGTGCTACATTCCTTCAAGCCTAATCACAGCATGGCAATGCAGCTATATGAATTCGACAACGCCCACTGCAGGATATGCCCAAATGAAATTGGACACAAAAAGCCCCTATGGTGACATTATTTAAACATGGCTCAAATTTTAAATAGATTATTTAGTTGTATTCTTCTTCATTTATAAGTGAGATATTTGAGATTTGAATTTCGTTAATGACGAGTTTAATATCGACTTATTCCCCACTTTTAATGTAAATGTATTTTTATCAAAAAATAAAAAATAAAATAAAAACTATTTTTTCACAAGGGCGTTGTGTGAAGTGAATAAGTATCCCGGGGATCTTTCAATCACATCCGTTCATCGTATATCATGCGGTAAAAAATCATTGTAATTTTTTAATTTAAAATGAAATATAAACAGTACATAACGAAAACTAGCCGCACGATGTATGATGAACGAATGTGATTGAAGGATCCCTGAGATCCTCGTTCATGTGAAGTGGATTTAACTAATTGATGGTCAAGACCATAAGACTTTTGTAGGTTGGGTTCATAAAAACAGTTTTATTACTAACATTATTTATTGCCACTCAGTACTATGGTTTGGTGATATTTCTTTTCACTTGTAAGTGAAAGGTCTTAAGCTCGAATCTCGTGGATGATGAAGTCGTTACTGGATTAGGTTACCCATTGTGTGGCTTAGCCAAACTCCCCTTTTATTTAATATAACATATATCATTATACTAACAAAAAAAAAATATCTTTAGCATATCCTAATTCCACATCAATTTTTATCTTCTTTTAAATTGATCTTGAGCATAAAACATAAGAACTATTACTTATAGGTGGAGAAAAATACACCATAATGCTAGGGACAGACTTATAAATTATGCATCACCATCCTTCACCAACCTACATACAATTCAATTGGACAGGCGGCCTTCTTATTAGGTACCTATTTATGGATCACCCCCACAAAATATTAATTGGCACTATTTAATTAGGGTAGTGTTATTCACATTCACTTGAATTTTTTACTTCTCACACCCTCTTGTTAAACTTTGTTCATTGATCTTCTTCAATTCATTCTTTCCGACGGTCGAAAATTAAGAGTGAGTATGAGAGGTAAAATTGAGTGTGTGGATAACACCACCCTTTAGTTATTTAACTATGACCAAATAAATTGACAAATAAAGTATTATGTGCATGTACTGTAGGACATCCCTAGTGGAGAAATACACATTCGAGATTATAAAACCACATTTACATCTCGTTTTGCATTTCTGAAAGATTTGATGTGAATACTACTATAATGGAGGAAATGTAAATTTGATATTTCATTTACTTCTCTCTATAACTCACAGGCCACACCTTCAAAAGATGTAGATGTATATTTACATTTTTATTTTCATTTCTAACGAAAATAAATACTTCTTTAAATCTTTCCATTGGCCTGCTTCCGGCCAACTAAAACTATAAAATGTCCATTTCAAAGCATTTTGCATTGAAGAAGATCTTATGATAACCAAATGCTCTTAATGATCTTAAATAGAGATTTAAACCCTTATTTTTTGTCAAAGAGATTTATAACTTAGGCAGTCCTAAGCATGAGCCCCAACAATACCACACTTCGGAGTGGCCATGCGATCCTTCCACTCTCAAAAGGGGATCCCTCTCAACAAGGGAATACATTAATACCATCATGCAAGTTTTAGGCAGAAAATAATATCCCCAACAATCATATTTGCAACTGTAATACGATCATGTGGTATTATCAGTTGACTAAAAAAAGAGCATTTTTAATAATACTGCATGTGAGATGAAAAATTAAAAATAATCATTTGACTCGTATCCGTGTCAGCTTATATATCCCATGTCAGATTTAATTATTTTTTATGAATTTATTATATTTTTGGTTTGCCTATATTACCCTTAGGTACAATTGTTTTAACGTTTTGGCATTATTTACTACTCACTTCTCAAATTTATCTGTTACAATACAGGTTTCTCCATTCGGGCATTAATGAAGTTTTTTCATTAACTGGTGATTAGCTCATACTAATCTTTTTGTCGTTCGGGTTTTAAATCCCAATTCCAACCAATCCATCCATTCTGAGGTAAGTTATGCAAAATTGTAAAAATGTCAGTTCTTTATTAGGCCCGTGTTATATGCGGTTTAGATTGTGGTTAGAAAATTAAGCAGTTGGTATTAGGCCCGTGTTTCTTATTTCCCCTCGTGTCATTTTTCTGAGATCGAGCTAATGCTTCTCAAAAGCTTGTAGTAGAAATACTCAAATCCCACATACGTATGATCTTGCTTTTCTTTTGTTCTAACAGGTGTTTAATCAGATAAACAGTCGTGACATAGAGAAGATAAACATATTTTGCGGAATGTTTGACAGCTGGATATTCCTAGGCGTCATGGTTTGCACAGCGGCTTTCCATGTTATCATAGTAGAGTTCTTGGGAGCGTTTGCTAGTACTGTTCCACTAAGCTGGCAACTATGGTTACTCAGCATTTTACTTGGATCAGTTAGCATGCTTGTAGCAGTTGTGCTCAAATTAATACCTGTCGAAGGGACAATTAAGCACCATGACGGATATGAAGCACTTCCTTCTGGTCCTCCAGAGGGCATAGTTTGAATAGGACCGTGTCAAACGCCCTTTTTTCCTTGGAACTTCCTGAGGTGGACGACTTGTACTGCTGAATCTAGCACAACGTCTTGAGGTTGCGTCTTCGGTTATCTGATTGAACCTCGGTGTAGTTGGTTAGAAAGAGAAATTTATGCTGTTCTTAAACATACATCAGTTATATCTGCATATATATCATTTGCGTTGTGATTTTGTATTTCAGTGAAGATTATAAATTGAAATTGTGTTCATCTAAGAGAATTGATTGTGTTGGTATAATTTTGTGAATCTGTTCGATTTCACTGCGTTAGCTGCTGATTGTCTACTTTTTGATTGGCAAAATTTGTTTCAGATGCAGTGGAGTTATGAAGTTTCACTAGAAAAAACTGAAATTGTGTGTATTTTCTCTACAAAACTTAAATTATTGGTTTGTGTATTGAAAAGGTTAGGGAATTAATTCTCCCACTCTCATTTTTCTTCCCTTCACACTTTGTTGATTTCTAGCATTTAAATTGGATAACTTAGAGAAAAGTGTGAGACACAAATAAACGAGGGTGTGCAGAATCATTTCCTAAATTATTATTCAAAAATGCTTTTGTTGATGTAATAACGGAATATCCTTTTCGAAAAAGAAAAAAAAGTATAACGGAATCTCTTTGGACTTTACACATATGAAATGTCGTATGAACTTATTCATTTTTTTTAATTGTCATGTGAATTAAAAATTTTGGCTAGTACAAACCGAAACTTCTGGCTGGTAAAAAGAACATGCGTAGTTCTTTTCAAAAAACTTATTGTCAACTACTAAAAATGACATTAGGCTCACAAACATGAATTTTAACTAATCGCAAGATTTGAGAATTCAACAGTGTCATTCATGTCCCTAAAGAGAGAGAGTTGAGATGTCTGAAATAACTTTGAACTTTTCAAAAGAAAAATTTTATTTGAACCCAACATTTCTCTTTCTAAACCCAACTTATAATACTTTTTATTTTGAAATCCCTGTTTTACCCCATATACTAAATGAGTTTAGAAAGAAATGGCCGAAAAAATCCCATTAGTGAAAGTATCTCTAATTACCTCATCCCCCCTCCACGAAAACACCCTCGACCGCCTAAACCTTTTGTCATTCCTATTGAATGATTTAAACTCATTGAGTTTCAACCTCAAATTGGTTTATCACAAAATAGTTGAATTTTGTGAAAAGGAAGAATGAAGAATTAGGATTCTGCACACATACTCATTGAACTAGTTTTAATGGTTCAGATCAAACAAATTGATTTAATTAGATGATATCTCTTAATTGATTTATCATTATGGTGTTGAAGTATTGCCTCTATATTATAGTGGCTGGGTTGTTGGTAAGGGGGTGAAGAACATTGGACGTTTTGGGTTTGGAGAGGTAGGGGTGGTGTGGGACGTGACTTTGGCTGGGTTTCTTTTTCGTTTTCTTCTTTTTCATTCTAAACCCATTTTCTATGGAAGTAAAATAAAGATTTCAATGTAAAAAAGTTACAAGTTTGGTTTAGAAAGAAAATTTTGGGTCCAAATTAAATTTCACTTTCCAAAATAATCTTGAAGGGGATATGAATTGAAATGTCCAAAATAACCTTGAAAATAAGTCATGTGCAAAGTAATGTCATATGACTTATTTTGGATGAAAAACTTAATGGAGTTATAGTGAAATAACAAATTAATGATTTAGAAAAATTGATATGCCAAATCTCGTGAATTGTAGTTCATATGACAAACGGAAGAAAATATATAAGTTCAGATGACATTTTTAAAATTTTCCCTAGTCTAATTAGTAGTTTGGGCTTTGAATCAAGTTGGGAAGGATATCCCTAAATGAAATTGGACACATAAGCTCCTATTGTGACATTTATTTAACATGACTTGAATTTTAAATAACTTATTTAACGGTATTCTTCTTCACTTATAAATGAAAAAAAGATAAAGACACTTAGACAATATTTTCAGGTCTTATTTTTTTACTGTGTGAATGTGAAATGTAAAAAACTATATTTACATCTCATTTTGCGTTTCCGAGAGAAGTGAATGTGGATTCTACTCTAATGGAGGAAATGTAAATTTGATATATCATTATTTTTCTCTGTATAACTCAAGGAGCTCACCTTCTAAGAGCAACTCCACCCCCACTAAGGTAATTACTGCTTGGGCTATTAAGCAAATACAATTACTGTTTTAGTGAACAGTAACTGCTCTAGTGCATCTCCACCCTTAAAAAGTAGTAGGATTCTTTCCCCTCACATTCTCTCCCTTTCTCTCTTACTTTTGTCTTTGACTCTCTTTGTGTGTAAAGAAGTCAACACAAAATGTTGATGTGGTTTAATTATGATCATTCAAATAGGAGGAGAGGAAATAGGAGGGGAATTTAGACTACCTACGTTAGAGAGGAGAGAATCCTACTCTTGTAAAAATAAAAAAAAATAAAAAAAAGATGTTTATTTTACATTTTATTTACATTTCCAATGAGAATAAATATTTTACATCTTTTCATTTGAACAGCTTCCGGCCAACCAAAACTATAAAATGTCCATGTAAAAACATTTTGAGTTGAAGATGCTCTTAATGATAACGAAATGCTCTTAATGATCTTAGATAGAGATGTAAACCTTTATTGTTTGTCAATGAGATTTATAACTTAGGCGGTCCTAAGCATGAACCCCCACACTACCACATTTTGGAGTGGCCCCAACAATGTAATCCTATGCACTACGACATTTCGGAGTGGCCCCAACAATGTGATCCTTCCACTCTTTTTAAAAGGGGTCCCTCTCAATAGGCTTGACAATTCCTGACACGACCTGATAACCCGACAAGACCTGACATGAAATTAATAGGTGTTCGGGTCGATACGATAACGAATCGGATCATTATCGGGTAACTCAATAAGCACCTGTTAAGATAACGGGTTGGTTCAGGTTTACACATGGGTAACACGATACACGATAAGCAAAATATTAATTTTATAATTTTATAACGCTAAAAAAATACTATAATAATTATATATATTAATTTAACAATTTTATACCCCTAAAAACTATAATAATTATATATATATATATTAAATTAAATATTAAAAATTGGTGACCATTTGTGACAGCCCGTCCCTGATTTTAAGAGTTTTAAAGTTTTAATAAAGGATTTTATAAAAATGCCCTTTGAGGCACGTGCATTATTCGAGGTTAATCGTTGTGTCATTCCATCTAAGATTTGTTTTCTTGACATATCCTCGTAGTACTCGTCGCTACAGACGTGTGGGCGTTGACGGTTTGTTATTTGGAGTTATAACGAAAAAAATTTTAAAGTTTGAAGTTTGGGCATTTTATAAATTTTATTATTAAAATTTGGATGGCCCAGATTTAATGAACAATTAAATGGATGGCTCAGATGTAAAGGAAAACAAAAATAAATAAATAAAAAGTGAAGAAAGGTTTTGTGTGTGCGTGTGAGGAAGAAAGAAGAAGAATGAGGATTGGGCAAAAACTACCCAACCAGAAGGAAGAAGAAGATAGCTCCAGGAGAGAAAGGAGAGAAGCTGGGCGAATGGGGAGAAGAGAAAGAAGCTTCTGGCCAATCAAAGAAGGGGAAAGGAGGAAAGGAGAGAGGGCGAGAAGCGGAGGAAGAAGAACAGAAATGGGTTTTCAAACCATGACCCGTGCGACCTGGTGGGTTTTCCACCCATTTCCGTCGAAATTTCTTCAATTTTCCGGTGAGTTACTTCAAACCATCACTTGGAAAAGCCTTTATGATCTTCCCTCTTCCTATTATACCTCAAAAATCAAGGAATTTGGCCTTGAAATTGGTTGAAACCGTACGGTGTGTGCGGTGGCTTAGTGTACAAATTCTTCAAATCTTGAAACGTTTTCTTTCAATTACTAACACCATTAGCATTCCCTTAGGACCTAGAACAAAGCCCAAGCAGTAGTTGGAGCATCAGAGTGGTTTTGGAGGTCGAATTGAAAACACCCATTTCTAGGGTTCTTCACGGATTTTGGTGAAATTGAAGTGTTTCCAGGCCAAATTGGCCTTGGCCTCAGGCGCCGATCGTCATGACGCCTTGATGTGTGGTGCTAGGGAGTTGTTGGGCGAACTCCAGGTGAGTGGGCAGTATTTCTATTTATACCTATATACTATTGATATTTTTCCTAGAAATTGAGTTTAAATGAAAATACGTTTTAAAATGCCATGCATGCATATTGTGAATTATATGAATTGATAATTGATGCATATATATATATATGTGAATTGGTGATGTGGACGCACATGTGAGTATCAGGTGAGTTTTATGTTATTCATGTGAATCATTGATGATGTGAATTGTGTTGAGAGCTCATAACCTGCACCCCTGGTGTTAGTGCTTATATTATTCACCCGCACCGCACGCTCACCTTGGATCCAAGTAGGTGCATGTCGTACAGACCGATAGAGGGTTCTGACATGCTAGTCGTACAGACCACTAGAGGTGGTTCCGACTAGTAGGTGACCTTAGATTATGTGCACAGATGATTGATGAGAGAAGCACTAGAGCGTATTCTTACACCATTCTTATCGTACAGACTACTTTAGGTAGTTCCGATTTATGTGCAGAGTAGTGCCGTACAGGTCACAGTGGTGACTCCGGTTGGATTGGATATTGAGTTATAAAATTAACCGTACAGGACCAACTATAGGGTCTCCGGTTGATTCCTTATTTCACCTGTTATAATGTTGCATCCTTATTATGTTTTGATGCATGACATGGCATATTTTTTTCTTGGAAAGTGTTAAAGATTTGTGATTTGAGTTTGAGATTAATTATGGTTATATATATATACTATTTTCTGGGAAAGTATACAGGTTTTACAGCGAGGGGTTAGAAATGTTTTAAATGAAATGTTTTTGAAAAACTTTGTTTTACTGATGGTAGGATTAAAAGCACACCACAAAGTAACCCACAATAATCCTATTGATTTTCCTTATTAACACTAAAATTTGTCGATTGTAGCATGTGAAAATAAGGGTCTTTCCCGCAGAAGATTGTTTTATCCAAATACTTAAAATGTCACAAAAACAGGGTGGCTGTCTCCACTGACCAGCCACCGAACAATAATTATTAGACTAACTTACACTTATCCAAATGCAACGAAATTTTATACACATAAACTAGACACACCAAGCTATGCTCACACAAATATTTGGGATTTTTGGAGTTGATTAGCTATTTAAATTAAATCGGACAAAACAGGACCTCAACA